TAAATAGCAAATGACCCTAGATGGAAGTATGGTGATAAACAAGAAACTGAAGAACATCCAACATCATAAAAATCCAATTTTAAACTAAATATTGATTGTTTAAAATATTATTTGGGGATATACATATATATGGAGAGAGAGAGAATGCAAATGAATTGAAATTCATAACAACACAAAGGGTAAATGAGAAATAAAGGGCATTAAGGTATTACAGGGTCCATGCACTGTCCAAGAAGTGGTAAAAAAAAAAAATCAGTTTAAGTTAGATTCTAAGTACTTGATGATACATATTATAATCTCTAGAATAACTACTAAAAATATCTAACAATTATATTACTAATTAACTAATTATGAGGAAAATTAAATAAATGTACTTGAATATGCAAAGTGAAAGAAAAAGGGAGGAAAAAATGAAGAGAGATAACTGGGAAAAAGAAAACAAACAAAATAGTAGATTTATACTTAAATGTATTAGTAATTGCAGTTAAAGTACATGGACAAAATTCTCTAAAAGACAAAGAGACCCTGAGAGAAAAAAAAAACTCAGTAATATATATGGCTTAAAAGGGACATCATACATATATGACACAGAAATGTTAAAAGAGTAAAAGGACAGAAAAAACACATACTGTGCAAATGCTAACCAAAATAAAATGATCTAGTCATACTAATACTTCTATTCAAATGCACATGGTACACTGATCATATGTTGAGTCATTTAACTAAAGGCTCAACAAATGTTAAGAAAGAAATCATTTACAGTATATTCTCTGGATGGATATTTTTAATAATAAAAAGAGAACCAAAAAATCCCAGATATTTAAAAATCAAACAATCCCACTTCTGAATTACAATGAAAATATGGCATATCATCATTTTGCCAACCATTAATGTTAGAAGCAGGGTAGTACATGGTAGTTCACTCTCCACTATTCATTCTAGTTCTGTTATGTTTGAAATTTTCCATAAAAAAGGAGTAAAAAACACAAGGTCGTATAAAATGTGGATAGCTCTAAAAACATACTAGAAAAGGGTTAAAAAAAATCAAGGAACTAGTAAGCTTTCACAAGAAGCTAAAATGGAATAGTAAAACTAAATCCTAAGAAAGCAGGAAAACAGAAGTTTGGAGCAAAAATCAATGAAACAGAAAACAAATGTAAAAAAATAATTTAAGAAATCTAAAAGTTAAATTGTTGAACAGGTTAGTAAAATTAGTAAGCCCCTAAGGAAAAATAATCAAAATGAAGGGAAAGAAGGCACTCTATTTCCAGTATCAGCAATTAAAAATATGACACATTTATGCCAGTAAACTTGAAAATTTAGATGAAATGGGCAAAACCCTTGCAAGACACAACTTGTCATAGCTGACACAAAAAGAATAAGAAAATCTGGATGGTACTGTACCCATTAATGAAACTGACTCTGTAGTTCAAAACTATCTGACAAAGAAAACTCTAGGCCCAAATGGCTCCACCAGGGAAATCAACCAAACATTTAAGAAAAACAACCAACCTTAAACTCCACAAGCCACAAAGAAGAAATATTGGTCAATTTATTTTATGAAGCTAGCATACCTTCTTCATAACACCTTATCAGGACATTACAAGAAAGGCAACTATATGCCAATCTTTCATGATCACAGACATAAGAATCCTAGATAAAATAATAATAAATCCCATTTTATGGGTGCAAGCATCTATGTGTATAAATTTGTATATATAATGCGTATTACATGGCAACCAAAATGAGTTTATTCTAATACTGCAAGGTTGCAAACCAATTACTACAATTTACCAATCAACAGAATAAAGGATGTAAAAAATAGGATTATCTCAATTATTGTAGGAAAAAAATGAGATTAAAAATTTAGTTATGTGAGAATAGAAAGATAACCCTAATCTGTTAAAGGGATCTATGAAAACTTATGATAAATACAGAAAGCTTTCCCTGGAGATAAGAAACAAAGTAAGATGTCTATGATTCTCCCTTGTGCTTGAAGTCCTAGCCAGTGCAATGAGATGATAAATTGCCATGTAAAATTTCTACAGATTGAAATAGTTAATAAGTTATTTTAACAATGTCTCCAGATACAAGATCAATATACAAAATATACTTACAATAACAGAAAATCATACATGTAAGAATCAACCTAACAAAAGGTAAATAAATAGGCCATTTTGTGGTTTAGAAGATCCAATAGTGTTGAGATCTCAATTCAGCCAAATTAATTCATGAATGCAATAGGTTGAAATCAAATTTCTGGGAGTTTTGTGGAAATTGATAAGCAGACTCTAAAATTTATACAGGTCAAGAAAAACAAAGGAAATCTTGAAAGACAGATTTGGAGGTAACTCCCAGATCCCAGAATTAAAAAGCTATAGCAATTTAAAAAGTGTGGTATTGGTGTAAAAAAAAGACAAATAGGCTAAAGGAAGAACAGAGATTAGAAACAGATCCACACATACAGTCACATGATAAAGCTAACAATGTAATACCATAGACTTTTGGAAAAGCATGGACTTTTCATTAGATAGTGTTGATAAACTGGCTATCCAGATAGATAAAAATAACCATGACCTCCTAATCTCACATCATTTATAAAATCAAATGTGAAAGTAAAAACAAAGTTTCTGAAAGATAACATAAAGTATCTTTATGATTTGGAGTACTCAAAGATTTCTTAAACAGGACATAAAGAGTATTAATCATAGAGGAAAAGATTGCTAAATTGCTCTTTTATTGATATTAAGAACTCTTATTCAGTAAAAACATTATTTAGAGAAAGGCAAACTAGATATAGGCAAGCTATCTGTAATACATATACCCAACAAAGAACAGAGAACTCAATAAAAGATGTGCAAAAACGTTGATTAGGTACTTCACAAAAAAGAATTTCTAAATGATCAAAAGCATATAAAGAAAGTTCAACATCAGTAGTAACTATAGTAATTACAAAAGTAAATTAAAATCACAAAAAAATTTACTTCACTTCTACCAGGTGACTAAACTGTAAAAAATAAAAGGGCAATAATAAGTGTTCAGGAAAATCCCACCACTGGTAGGAATGTAAACTGGTACACCACTTTGGAGTCTTTTTTTTTTTTTGAGAAAAATGACTGTTTAAAATAAAAATAAAGACATACTGTTTAACCTGTAGTTTCTTGTATCTTCAGCTACACAACTATGTACCCAGGTTTGTGAAGTAACAAACCAAATGAAGTCCAACATGTGTGCAGAATGTAAAAACCCAACCATCTGGCCCTTTTCCTGTCTCTCTTTACCCTCCATGTTGCTTTTTCTCCCAGAACATACATGCTTTTGATCATGTTACTCACTGTTATGGACAAAATGTTTGTATCTCCCTAAAATTCATATGAAACCCTAGCCCCCCAATGTAATGGTATTTAGAGATGGAGCCTTTGGGAGGTAGTTTGGTCATGAAGGGTATGGTCCAGGTCATGGGTTAGTGTCCTTAAAGAAGAGACACCAGACAACTTGTTCCCTCTCTGCCGCATGAGTATACCACAGGAAGGCAGCTGTCGGCAATCCAGGAAGATAGCCCTCACTAGGGATCAACCAGGCTGGCACTCTAGTCTTGGACTTCCAGACTTCAGAACCAGGAAAAAACATTTCTGTTGTTTAAGTCGCCCAGTTCACAGTATTTTTTTATGGCAGACCAAGCTGACTATAACACTCCCTCTGTCTAAAATATTTGTCCTCATGCTCTTCCTGTACCCTACACTCCCAATTCTCATCACCAGTCCCATCTTCTTCAATTGGTTAATAATCATTAACCCTTGATTCTCAACCTTGAAAAGTTTAGGCATACCTAGAAAAAAAATCTCACCCTCCACAATGAGTTCAATAACCCTATCTTGTACTCCCATAGCACCATGAGCATGTACCTGTTACTTCACTAGAAACTCTTTCGGAACAGAAACCATAGTTTATTTTCCTTTGTACCCCTCAACTGTAAGAATGGGATCTGACATGTGGTATAAACATATGGTATAATGTAATTAATAATACAGCTTGTTGAACTGAACTTTATCATGTTGTTCATTTATCTCACCATCTACAATGTATGCAAGTTTCTTCCCTAACAACTTACATGTTTGAGTTCCTCAGATCAAAATGAGAATTATTAAATGAGAATCAGATAGATTTACGCATAGCCACTATGCCACTGGATGCGGATACATCTTACAGATACCATCTATCAAAAAGGATAAATATTTTAAAACATTTTTTTAAAACTACTTTTATTGGCCTTTTATTCTGTAGATATATACTGAATAAGGTTAAACTATAAACTACATGAGTCAACATAGAGTAACAGTTACAAATGCTTATTTAACAACAGGAATTTATATCTTTGTATCACTAAGAGAATTAGGGTCAAGAATAGTTTTCTGACAGATTTGATAATCTTGTGAGTAGCCCCAAAACAGGGTTATATATCCTATTACCAAGCTTTCAATTTTAGATCAAGCTGGAGCCTTTAGAAGATTGCATACATAGTGTCCAATGGAAACACTGTCACTGAATTGATTTAGGAGGACACTATTGATTTCTGAGGTAAGCTACACGAAACAACTTTATGAAATTTGTCAGTATATTATCACAGATACGTTTGCTGATGATATTTTTTTATTTCTCATCTGAGAAGTTTTTTGTAAAACTAGGGAAACTTCTGCTTCTAAGAGGCTGAAATGCTTTTTCCTCCAGGATAATGAAAATGTAATATATTTCCCCTTTTTACCTTAGTCATGAAAAAATTCAAAGTCAAATTTATGACTCAGTTATTACATCATATAGAACTTTATGGACTATTAATTTATTGTTTCTTTCTGGATTTGATTTATAAATCACATTCTCCTGGGTTTGTTTTGTATCTTTATTTTGTCTGATAGTGGGCAGATGGTTTTAATGTCCTTCACTAACACATCTTCTTTCTATAGAAATGAATAACACACTAAAAAGTATGAGAATCTTCTTACCTGACTGGCTTGGCTTTGCAAGTAGACTCTTCTGGCATTCAGATCTTCAAAGGGAGAAGGTCTTGGGCTTCTGTAAGGCTCACTAGTAACAACTGTCTCTTGCCTGAAACGATGATCTTTCACTAGAGAACTGGAAGTATCCTCTTCAGTTGCCTAAAGGGAACAATCCCCAACTCATTAGTTGCCTAAAATATAAAAAGCAATCAAGTAAGATACCTCCACTCTAACAAGTATTTAGCAAATCAGTACATATGTGCAATACAACCACCATCACTATGAACAGCAATTCCTCAAACTCAAACATACATGATCAGGAAGCCATATCAAAATAAAATAGTATTAGATTTTTTAAAAAAGCAAGTTTATAAGCAAAGTGGGTTTCCTTAAAGAAAACAACTTAGGAATAGTTAGAAGGTTAGCTATGCCACATATGAGAGACATCTAACTGTAACAAAGCTTTTAATTATTACTAAAAGTGACATACATATATAGAAAGTGAAGAAATTATTAGGAAGAAAATACAAATCAACAGAAGTGTTATTTCACCAAGAACTGTGCTCTGATGTGTGATACAGAGAATCGAAAGAAGGAAAACAATAGTCCATGACCTTGTTGAATGAGTGAATAAATTAATTAGCCTGAACTTGCTGATTATTTACAAGGATTCAAATCATGTACATGAGATGTAGGTAGGGAGACAATTAATGACAGTCACTAATGACATGCTTTTAAAATTTCATAAGTAGTTTCTGTGAAATAAAGGTCCAATAAGTATACAGTACATAAAGTCCTGAAAGGATTGTTTGTTTTTAAAAAATAACTATTTACTATTACTTTCCTGTTACTATACAGTCATTTTGGAAATAGTGACAGCTAAGTAAAAACGACAGAAACACTTTTATTGGCTCATTCTAAAATAATTTGGAGCATCAATATAGGGCTAATAATTCTAAAGTTACAAACTTATATGAGCATTTTAAAAAAATAAAAGCACATTTAAAAATTTGGTGTTATTTCTAAAATTAAGCAATAAAATTAATAAAATAGCCAAGATTTTACTCTGGGGAAGGGTTTCAAAATCAACTTTTTAATGTAGAGAAAATTATTAATAAACTTTTTATCAATTGCAGTCTTTTCAAGCATTGTTCAAAATCACAGTCTGGACTATTGTCTTTTATGCAATATGTTTATTTGTATGCTATGTTATAAAGTAATGTGTATTTTATAGACCATTCAATCCACATAGGCCAACTGTCTGTAAACAGGGAGAGTAAGATATTTCACATCTAGCCCTTGCTCTGCAACAAGGCAGCCTGATGACATTTAATTTCTTTAAACTCAGTTTTCTCAATTACCAAATAATTATAATACCTATACTGTTTTATTACATTATCATAAATATATGTGAAAATGCTATGAAAACTAAAAGCTGTTTTTTCAACAGGAGTAAGCAATTAAACTTTTAAATATATGTCTGAGAATAAACTGTCACTTAAAACTATATCAAACCCAGTTAACTGCTATTCTTAACAATTTTCATCATAGTTGTTCCAACATATTATGAAAGTTGATGCTAAATTAGTGAGTTGCTGAATACTAGTAAACAAATGTTCTTTGAAAATGCATGATCAAAACTGATAATAGTAAGAATATTCAAGATTTATTTGTTCCACAGAGTTTTCAAAATAAATGATTCAAGTGATTGCCAAAACTTATAAGCAAACTGAATAGAAGTAAACAAAGGGGAAAAATAATAAAAGGTTTAGAAAAAGGGACTAGTTTGGAACTTGTCTCATCCACTAGGGTATAAAATTTAAACAACTACCTTCTCTGCATCTCAGTTTTACAATATTATAAATTGGGTATATCTGTACTAATAATCTTGGGGTTAGATGAGATACTGAATAGTAAAAACTATAAATAAGCATAAATTACAATGGTGGTTGTGCTTGCTTCGGCAGAACATATACTAAAATTGGAACGATACAGAGAAGATTAATATGGCCCCTGCACAAGGATGACACAGAAATTCATGAAGCATACCATATTTTTAGGAGAATGAAACTGGATTATTGTCTATCCCCATAAACAAAAGTAAACTCGAAATGGATCAAAGACCTGAATGTAAGTCATGAAACCATAAAACTTTCACAGTCTGGACTATTGTCTTTTATGCAATATGTTTATTTGTATGCTATGTTATAAAGTAATGTGTATTTTATAGACCATTCAATCCACATAGGCCAACTGTCTGTAAACAGGGAGAGTAAGATATTTCACATCTAGCCCTTGCTCTGCAACAAGGCAGCCTGATGACATTTAATTTCTTTAAACTCAGTTTTCTCAATTACCAAATAATTATAATACCTATACTGTTTTATTACATTATCATAAATATATGTGAAAATGCTATGAAAACTAAAAGCTGTTTTTTCAACAGGAGTAAGCAATTAAACTTTTAAATATATGTCTGAGAATAAACTGTCACTTAAAACTATATCAAACCCAGTTAACTGCTATTCTTAACAATTTTCATCATAGTTGTTCCAACATATTATGAAAGTTGATGCTAAATTAGTGAGTTGCTGAATACTAGTAAACAAATGTTCTTTGAAAATGCATGATCAAAACTGATAATAGTAAGAATATTCAAGATTTATTTGTTCCACAGAGTTTTCAAAATAAATGATTCAAGTGATTGCCAAAACTTATAAGCAAACTGAATAGAAGTAAACAAAGGGGAAAAATAATAAAAGGTTTAGAAAAAGGGACTAGTTTGGAACTTGTCTCATCCACTAGGGTATAAAATTTAAACAACTACCTTCTCTGCATCTCAGTTTTACAATATTATAAATTGGGTATATCTGTACTAATAATCTTGGGGTTAGATGAGATACTGAATAGTAAAAACTATAAATAAGCATAAATTACAATGGTGGTTGTGCTTGCTTCGGCAGAACATATACTAAAATTGGAACGATACAGAGAAGATTAATATGGCCCCTGCACAAGGATGACACAGAAATTCATGAAGCATACCATATTTTTAGGAGAATGAAACTGGATTATTGTCTATCCCCATAAACAAAAGTAAACTCGAAATGGATCAAAGACCTGAATGTAAGTCATGAAACCATAAAACTCTTAGAAGACAACATAGGCAAAAATCTCTTGAATATAAACATGAGCAACTTTTTCCTGAACGCATCTCCTCAGGTAAGGGAAACAAAATAAAAGTTGAACAGGTGGGACTACATCATGCTAAAAAGCTTCTGTACAGCAAACCATCAGTAGACCAAAAAGGCATCCTACAGAATGGGTGAATATATTTGTAAATGACATATCTGACAAGGGGTTAACATCCAAAATATATAAAGAACTCACAAGCCTCAACACCCAAAAGGCAAATAACCCTATTAAAAAATGGGTGGAGGATATGAACAGACACTTCTCCAAAGAAGAAATTCAGATGGTCAACAGGCACATGAAAAGATGCTCCACATAGCTAATCATCAGGGAAATGCAAATTAAAACCACAAGAAGATATCACCTCACACCAGTTAGGACAGCCAGCATCGAAAAGACTAAAAACAACAAATGCTGGTGTGGATGCAGAGAAAGGGGAACCCTCCTACACTGCTGGTGCGACTGTAAGCTAGTTCAACCATCGTGGAAAGCAATATGGAGGCTCCTCAAAAAACTAAAAATAGAAATACCATTTGACCCAGGAATTCCACTCTTGGGAATTTACCCGAAGAATATAATTTCTCAGATTCAAAAAGACATATGTACCTCTATGTTTATTGCAGCACTATTTACAACAACCAAGATATGGAAGCAACATAAGTGTCCATCAGTAGATAAATGGATAAAGAAGATGTATATTCCATATACACAATGGAATGTTACTCAGCCATAAAAAAGAAACAAATCCTCTACCATTCACAACAACATGGATGGAGCTAGAGGATATTATGCTCAGTGAAATAAGCCAGGCAGAGAAAGACAAGTACCAAATGATTTCCCTCATCTGTGGAGTATAAAAATGAAGCAAAACTGAAGGAACAAAACAGCAACAGACTCACAGACTCCAAAAAGGAACTAGCGGTTGCCAAGGGTGAGGGTGAAGGGAGGGCATGTGGGGAGGGAGGGAGAAGGGGATTGAGCAGTATTATGATTGGCACACATGGTGTGGGGGAGATCATGGGAAAGACAGTGTAGCAGAGAAGGCAAATGGTGACTCTGTAGCATCTTACTATGCTGATGGACAGTGACTACAATGGGGCATGGGGGGGGGCACGATTATATGGGTGAATGTAGTAACCACATTGTTTTTTTTCATGTGAATCCTTCATAAGAGTGTATATCAATAATACCTTAATAAAAAAAAGCAATGAAAAAAATTATAGTAGTAGTAGTTATCCATAGTAATTATGCTTTTAATGGTGACAACTTTTTGGATTAGGTTGTCTTTATGGAATTCTAATATAATTGAAGAGTCAGTTAAGAATTGTAAAATAAAATAGAGCTTACTTAAAAATCTGTATCTGAACAAACACAAAATGTTTACATAACTCGGTGTTTTACTGTATTGACTTGGGTTAATTCTACTTATATTCTGTATACAGAACAATAATACTTCATTTCAATTAGGAATAATACCTTTATTCTTAGGTATTTAAGATTATGAAATATCCAGTGTTTATTGTTTCATTCTTAAACAAATAAAAATACACACAATTTAGTTCTACTTTAAAAATGTTAACCATAATAGCTAGAACTAGCCTATTAACTAGAAATACTTGTATCACACAGTGAATTTACAAGGATGTAACTAAATGGGTCTGAGCTAATAACTGAAACATCTTTCAGGTGTCTGATATGGTAAAAAAAAAAACCTAAAAACCTAAAAACCAAAACCCTCACTATTTGAACACAGAATCTACAGTCTACAAAAAGGCGTATATTATCTATGAACTGTAAGAAACAAACTAACATTTTTGGAGAATCCTAAACTAGAAAAGACTGTTTTCTTATGGATTATATCTCTTTCCACAAGTCATAAATTTAGAAGTATATTAAACTGACAAGGTTAAACAAAAAGTGGTGGTAAGGAAAATGATCATTCCCCTTCATTGCTAATTTCCATACAC